TTATGATCACAATGATGAACAACTAGTCCATGAAATTCAACAACAACTTAGTCATAATTCAAATCAAGTGAGAAATTTCTTTTTTGTTTTGAATTAAAATTCTATTATTGTTTGTTTCTAGATGGAAATGATTGAACGACTAGTCAATCGAAAATATGAATTAGAATTATGGAGAGAAGAAATTCAACATTTAAAAAATTATCTACAAGAACATCAATGGCCATCATCATTTCGTTATATACATGTTGGTATACCATCATTTATTGAAACAATTTCAGATCATACTATTCAACAACAATTCATTGATCAACATCGACAAATACTTCATGATTATAAACGGCAACTACTTCGATTATTGATTACAATATCCGAAGAAATTTGTTCAAAAATACAAACTGCATTCAATCATGATATGTCTCAATTTTGGAATTATCAACATTCATTACCTGTACAAGAACAATTCTCTCAAATGACCTTAAACTTGATTGATCAACGTTTTAGTTTGATGATACGTAAAGTACATGCTATTTATTGTCATTATTATCATCATTCAAAATAAACTTTGTTTTTTTTGTATTATCCTTTTGTTGCATTTTTCTTATTATGGTTGATTTATTTTAGATTATTTTCAAAACTTTTTGGTTTGATCAGTATGGAACAAAATTCAAAATTATTTCCTGATCAATTCAATGTTATTGATGGTGATTCCTATGATACAACAGCAAATGATAATGATGAATTATTGGATGATTATTTCAGTAAATATAAAAATGATATTAATGAAAATAAAATACAATATCATGAATTTCAACTGGATCCACAACAACACTTATCACAACAATTAAGTCAATTGTCAATGATCAACAAGAATGTGGATGATGATGATAATTCAATACCAAAATATCTACAAGATGAATTGGATAAACTCACTGGTACAATAAATCGAAAAGATCTTCGACATATAGCATATATTCTCTATGAAATTGGATATTACAAATATTTATATGATTTATGGTCACTTTATTTACAAGCTGGTCTTGGTCAATTGGTAAAATCAATCAAATATGAAGAACCCTATTGGCCATACCATGAAACTGTTATTCGTCAACAACTCTATGAATATAAAATTAAATTGGATTATTATCAAAAAGAATATGATTCATGTAATATTGATACTACTGTACAACTTGATATTGAAAAACTTGTCAATCAATATGGTTTAATTAAAATTCATATGGAATCTGACTATAGAATTGCATTATTCTATAATCAATATCATGATTATCAACTTCAAGTTCAATATCAAAAAGAAGCTTCAACAAAATATCAAGTAACTTACTTTCTTTTTATTTTAATTTTTTTCTATTTACAAAAATAGATGCAAATGGGACAAAATATATTCGATACAAATTTTCAATTATCAACTATGAACTCTGAATTAATCTATCATCGATTACAATTACTCTACGATCAACCACCTCGATCTTATGATAAATTAGAATTTCCATTACTATCATCGATTGATCAGTATGAAAAATTATTACAACGAACTAAAACACAACTTATGGCATTACGTTTACTATGTCTACAAACAAATATCTATCAATATGAAACAAAATTAAAATTACAAAAAAATGAAATAATAGTTGGTAAACAGATGAATGATACATTATTTCATTTGATTGATCAACGCAATGAATTAATACATCAACAAATGAAATTAAAATTAGATTTTCATACAAATTTCAATCTTCGTAGTCAAATTCAACATCATACTGATAATCATATTGGTTTTATTAATAATTTAGAAATAGATTCCAATATAATGCAAGACAAAATAAAAAAATATTTTAATAAAGAACAATTAAAATTATTACATCGTGGTCCATCTTATGTACCACCATGTCAATTACAACTGAAATCATTGAATCAATTTCTCGACAAACAATATCAACCATTACAACAACAATTATTAGTTGATCTAGTAAAAAAATATCCAAATGATAAAAAATTATTTCAAAATATTGAACAGAAGACAAAAGAAGAATTTTTTAAATTATTTACTTTCTCTGATCACAATCTATCAACATCATTGATATTAGAACGTGCCTATCATGAACAACAAATAATAAATACCATTCAACAATGTTTACATCAGCATCAACTTATTTTACGACGACTCGCTGATGATACAAATCGATTTTATCTTGAAGAAAAAAATCAATTTCATGAACAATGTCAACAATATATGAAACAACATCAACATGATTATGAACTTCTATCTTCTATTTCAAATCTAGAGATAATAGTGAATCAACATATTCATAAAATTAATATGAAATTAAACTTTCTAGAACGTGAACATTATATTACTAACGATATTTATCAACAACTTTTTCTACAACGTAATGATATTCAATTGAAAAATGTCGAATTTTTACTTGATAACAAATCCAATGTTAAACCAATCTTTTCAATGGAATCAAATGTAACATCGAAACTTTTAACTTATCTTGATACTTTACTTCGACCGACAATTGAAGATATATTAAAAGATAGTTTTGTCGATCAGGATATTGATTTTATTCAACGCCTCTTTAATACACCTTGTTTTAAATTACAAAAAACAACTCTATTGATAAGAATACAAATTCAAAATTTTTTTAATATGTTTACATATCAATCGATGGTAAATCGAATTATGTATTTATTAGCAAAACATTGTAAAAATGAACCGATCAATAATATATCAATGATTGCTATTGAAACTTTACTAGAATTATATTTACAACAAACATTATTTATCTATCAAGAACAAATTTATAGTTTTAATCGTGGTATGTCAAATCAAACACAATTCAATACATTGTTATCTAGTTTATGTTTATATTATTGGAAAATGGAAAAATTTCAAAATAATAATGAACAATTTCATCATGAATTTCTTCTTCAATATAATAATGAATTATTTTTTACATGGAATCAATCGAAAGATAAACTTCATACATTTCTTGATACATTAAATGAATTCTATGGTGATCCTATTGATATGAATATTGAATATGGTCAAAAATTGACTATTCAAAATATTTATCTGGAAAATTCTCATGGTCAATTCTATACAACAATGAATCCAACATCAATGATATTACCTTATGTGACAGGTTATCCTAAAGTTAAATATCAAAAATGGTTTCGTTCAACATTAATTCGTCTCATCTATCTATGTACAAACTGTCAAGATTTTACTCGTCAACGAATTAATATGGAAATTTGTTGTTTAATATCAGGTTATTCTCATGAATTTATTGAAAATGAATTAGAAAATTTTAATCGTTATTTAAATGTAAACATCTATCAAATTCAAACAAATGAACTCGTTTATCAACAACTTCGTTTACATCTATTAAAATTTCAACCACAAAAATGTCACAAGTCAATCATCGAATTTACATTTATTCATGATTATGGATCCTATCATGAATTTAAGAAAATATTTTCTCATATTTGGTCAACATATACGAATTCACATCCAACTCTGTCATTAAAACAACTGAAAATACTTCTAAATGTTCAACATTCATTTTCATTAAATAATCTCTTAGTTCAAAAATAATCATACTTAAATTTTGATCTTATTGTTTCAGATTATATAGAAATGTTACAAGAACAAAATTTGACAACAAAACGTTATCTTCTTCTTCCATGTTATCCAACATTATCAAATGATCTTCTTCTAACAAATGTACCAAGTAAGACAGAAAAAAAAGAATCATTGAAATTTCTAATTATTCTCATCGAATGTTTTCTAGTGAATGAACTCAATGAAAAAGAATTGGTAACACGTCAACTATTTGGTTATCATCAACCAACAATAATAACAACATGTCAAAATGATCATGAACGATGGATTCATAGTTTAAGTCAAGCTTGGAATATTCATCGAAATATATTAGAATTTAATTTTAAAAAAATGTTAACATTACTTGATACATTGGCTTATAAACGAATGTATCATTTTTCTACACATCCACAAGAAGAATATTTTCATGAAGATGAATATAAAATAGCACTGGAATTTTATCTTCAAATGGATTATGATCTTTTCTATATGAAAACATGTTCGTATCGTGGTGCACAACCTATTATCAATGAACTTCGAAGTATATTTTCAACAAGTGAACAACCACCCTATGGACATTATACAATGGAAACATGCCAAGAAAAATCTTGTTGTTTATGTTATCCTTCTCGTCACTTAGAATCTAAATCAACTCTACAACATATTTTTGTTAATGGTTATCGATCAATTTTAAATTGTCCAGCAACATGTACAACTCGAAATATTATTTATGTTCTTACATGTCCATGTCAACAATTTGATTATATTGGTGAAACAAGTGTATCTTTATCACAACGTCTGACATGTAATAATTTTATATGATAAATTATTAATAATTTCTTCAATATATTTTGTATAGATCATCGAAAACATGGTAATCGTATTATAAAAGAATTTCTTCTTGGAAAAAAATTAACAAATTATATAAATGAAAATGCAATAAAATCTGAAGAGTAAAATTGATTTTATTTTTTTAACTTTATGCTCAATTAATCTTTATTTTTCAGGACATTGGTTAAAGATGGTATGCTATTGTATCAACATTTATGTCGTTGTTCAGTAGCTATGCAATATTTCTTGGATGAAAATCCTGATTATTGGTTATTTATACCACAACGAATGACAGAAAATGAAGAACAACAACAAGAACGAGAAATAACATTTATTGATGATGATAATAAATATCA